AAAATAATAATTTAACTTTTATTACGATTGTAAAAAAACAATGATAATAATCGAGGATGAATTATTGTTTACATAGAGTGCAGCAAGACATGCATCGCGTTTGTTTCAAGTACGTTGCATAGACGATAGCATTGAAGTTAATAAGCGAATCAATGACGAATATAATTTCTCTTACATAACTGTTCAAAGCGCGGTAACAAAAGTACGGCGCGTCGATTAAACACAATTTGAATCCATTCCATTCATTGCTGTAACATGGCTACTTCAGATAGTAACATTTTTTTAATGTGAAATTATTTTGAATAAAACAAATTTAAATCATAGACACCGACAAACTCATTGATAATGTTATAAATAAAAGTTTATCAATGAGACTTATACATATAGAACAACGCTCTAGACATAATTACTTTTAATTCAGAGAACACTCATGAATAATAGCGGCTTTTCTTATTAATGCAAGAGAATTCATCCTATTATTAACAGTTTATGGTTATATATTGATTTTTAAGTGGCTTGAGACGTATCTATGGGCGGTATCGTGAATCATCAAGAAACCCAATCCTACTACGTATAGTTAACGTGACTTAAACGTAACACAATTGGTAGAAGCAAAAAAAAAATTGGTGCGCTTGATACATATCACAGAATTGTTTGTATAATATTTATTACAACAATTATATAATAACACAAATTATTATAGACATAAAAGTGTACAATAAAAAAAACACATGAATCAATAACTAATTAAGTCTTAAGAAATTATATATATTTTTTTTTTAATATGTCTAATATTTGTTTATACTAATTTAAAATTAAATATTCAGAAAATAACTCGTTGTAAATTTATGGAAAGCTTTAAGGAAATACTAAAATTATATTTTTTTAACTAAGGTTTTTTTTATTTAGTCACTTTTCTTATCAATTATCACATTCAGCCAACTTGAATTTACAGGAAACGACGGTTTTGTTTGTTATTTCTGTTGGTTCCAAAGATTAACATATATAATTTTCACATATTTTCCACCCACTTATAATGCAATAATCATAATTTAACAATTGTAACATATTAATTATAATTCATAAAATTCATCTACGAAAAAATATTTTAACGAATTCATCACAAAAAGATGCGCGTTTTGGAATAACAGTGAATTATGTATGTGCATTTTGAAAATGTTTCCATGTGTAATTTAATTATTTATTTTGTTTGGATGCACCTTCTCATGTATTTCGTAAATCTTTGACGTATTTTCTAAGTGATTTTTTTTTATGCGGTCCCTATTCACCGCATAAAAAAGTTTCTATAATGTATTTTATAAAGTTATTTGTTTCGAAAAAAAATTATGTGCACAAAAAAGGTTTTACTGTATACACTTCTTTTTCATAAATATATGTCATGTAAACTTATGAGTCACGAAATGATATCTGTCATCTTACATCAATGCATCGAAAAATGTATATTAACAATTAGATATAAAATTATTTACTTATTTTTTTTTCTGTAAATAATTAAAATATCTATGTTAATACACATACAACACTAAATTAGCTTTGTTCCACAATAATTGATTGAGTAAACCGTGCTTTTTATGTACAATTGAATCACTTTCCACTGTGATTACGATTGAGGAGCGCACATTTGTTTTATACTGTTTGGATTTTTTCCCATAGTTTAACAACATGATGTATGCATTAAATATAATTCATTATTCTTAGGAAATGTTTCTCAAGTCTCTGTTGTTGTATATATAAAAAAAATAACAAAATCATGTTCATTGTTATGTAACGATATATTTATAAATATAAAATGCTATACATAATAATTGCTATTATTGTATAGTAAAAAATATATTTTTGATAAAACTATTAAATCAATTTCTATTCATGTTACAAAAAATCATTCCAACGTATATATTATGTATATTACAGAAATCAACGAGTTTCTAAAGAAATACGAATATTTTTTTGATGCTGTAAAATTTCTAATAAATCGAGATGCCTAATTAATTAGAAAACTTATCTTAAATTTAGTTTCTAATTTCAAAAACAATAATTTCTTTTTTTCTATATGAAACGCGAGAAAATTATGAAGTTATTACTACGAAGAGCATTTCTAGGAAAAAATATCTATGAAATTCGAATAATTGCATATTTACAACTTTAATGAATAAAAACAAGAAATTGTTTGTTTCTAAAAAAAATAAACACAAAGTTATTTTTTGTTCAATCGTCGTTTATTTCCCCTTCTTCGATTAGTCCAGTTACCCGGACTATGCGAGATATTGCTCCATTATAAATTTTATTCAGTCGATCACTGTAAACTACTAATAAATAATTCTAAAAATAAATTTTCAAATTTAACAGTCACTAAAATGAAAAACAAAATGTTTTTCAGAGTACTTAAAAAAAATGAAAATATATTTTGTACTATTAATAGATTGTAGTTATTTTTGCTCAATGAAAGTATATAAACTGATTTACTGAAATGTGTTTATTTTATGTATGAAACAGAAGTAGCATTAACAAAAAAAATAAAGTTTTAAGTCTGGGTTCTATTTAAATAAACAAACGTCACTAAATGCACAGCATTTTTTCATATGCACTTTGATTTGTTCATGCACTTGCAGTGTGATTCGTACACTTGAAATACTGTTTAATTAAATCAATCAGTGCAAACTCTAGTCTTATAGAATATGAATATTCAGTGAGTAACGGTTCCAATTAAAAAATGTGTTCTATTTGTCCTCTCGAACAGTCCAACCAATGAAGCCAAACATATTTCCATTAATTCGAATCAGCAGCTACAGACTTTTTAATATTGTCGCCTCTATTTTTTTTAGATAGAACACGCTGGTAGTTCGTAGATTACTGAAATCGTTTAGTTATACAACTAAGACCATAAATTAATTTACGTAATTGGACCACATGTCCAAATAGAACCAATTAATATAATTATCGTTGATACTTAGAACATGAAATGCATTTATTTCATCTTTCTTCATCTATTTCAAGCTAATTGTCATTCTTTTTTTTTACATATCCGTTAGTTGTCAAGTATTATTGTAGTACTAAAAAATAACGTTAAAATATTATTAAAGATACAAATTGACTTTGACTTTTGACCTTGAAAATCAAAGTACAAATCATGCAATTAGAGAAAACAAGGAAAATTTAAACAAATATTTAACTTATATTTAATAATAATTTAATAACAAAATTTACATAATTTCAATGTAACATACATTTATTTCTTTCAAATGAAGCTTTCCTCTACGTAATTATGTTCTATCAAATTAATTAAAATTATTTATGTACTCTCAAATTCACATAAATAAAAGAAAAAATCTTTAACCCATTTATTTTTCTTATGAGTTTTTCTCCTTAAATGATCATCAACCATAAAATTCAATAGTTATCTGTATTAGATCAATTATCATAGGTTTAAATGATTATCTCATATCTTACTGATTATCAACTACTATAGTAAACATTTAAAATGAGTAGATAAAACTTACAACAAAAAATTACTATATTTGTAAATTATAGTTTGTATATTTTATAGTGTTTACATTTACTTAATTTTGCAAATGATTATTAAAAAAAATCAACAATCAACATTTATGATAATTTGAAGAACTAAAACAAACCGAATATTTTGAAATAAAATTATCGCATTTTTATACCATCTAATGAAATTTGTAAATTAAAAACAACAACTATTAAAATATTTTGAAGAAATAAGTAATAAAAATCGTACTTTGAACAATCTGATGTACAGAGTGAATTGTCTCAAATAATTGCAAGAAATAAGATCATCTGAAAAACTAAATAAATTTTCAAGTTTAATGAGATTTTGTGATGTAAAGTTTCCTATGTTTTATTTTTTATATTTGTTTATATGATAAAGATTTTCCAGTTATTGTGTAAATGTGTATTATGTAAGTTTTTTTACTAAATAAAATGGTTTTTTTAGTCTATGAGGGGTTTGACTATTCCTAGCTAGTGTATTGGGGTACTTTTCTAACCGGTTTTGATACCGCTCACTAAACATAATTTGGCATATAGAAAAACTTAAAAAAAAATACTTGAATATACGTTTTGTATTAAATTTATGCTGATATTCGATTGTGATGCGAGCAAAGTCCCACTCTGGTCAGGTTTTTTTTTCTGTTATGTACACGGCAATACCCGATTGCATTTTTCCGAGTATTCTGCAGTGTGCGACGATGTTTCAATGTTGAATTCATATGCAAATTTACCGTTTTTCCTCCTGCGACCATTATTTTCCCACAGAGACGGACGCGATTCACAAGTTATCTAAGATCTTTATCGAAAAGCGATATAATTAGTAGTTAGTAGGTAATGTTGCATTCCGTGGCACGAGGTTGTGGAAATAGTGTCTCTCCTCTATACGATTCGAATAAACTTGGAGTCCCAGGACGACTGAATCCACAAAATGGTCAGCAGCTGGCTGGAAATGTTCGCAGCATATGCTTCTCACAAAACCACATGGAATGGGGAAAACTCGTAGGCACGGAGGACGTCTCTGTCTCTCTTATACTCGCAGCCCGACGCGTACGAATCATTACGTAACAGGTGGTCATTATTCCTACCTTTTCGTATTTTCCGCGGCATAAAAGCGTTCTCTATCGATGCACGAACTAATAATTTATTGCATAGTTAGAAGTCATGCAATTAATAAAAAAATCTACATTTCGAGGCTATCCATCGAAAATTCTACGGTGTGTAGCAAATTGATTAAATGGGTTACATAGCTTAGAAACAATAGTTCATAGTGTATTGCTGCGTCAGGGCATCCGGTGCAAATCAAATAATTGTTCAAAGTAACAAAAAAAAAATATGATTGCCTGTGTAGTGTTTTCTTTTTTTTTATATATATATTTTCTTTGTAGGAAATAGTTAATGAAGCAATTCGTAGTTTGAATGAATGAAAAGTATACTTACAGATTTTGGAGCCATGGCGATGTCGAAAATTGATCACCTGCAAGTAAGAAGAAAAAAATTAGAATCGGTTTCCAGTGAATCCGTTTTAAGACTAGGTAGAAAAAGTAAACACGTCATTGGTTTGCCATAAAAATTATCATCAGTTAGTCACGTTATACAAGGTGAGTTAATAAGTTGCAAAACAGAGAGAAGGAATAAAAAAAGAAACGAACATGCACGTATTTTCCGAAAATCGTATTGGACTCTGCGAAATTCGAATATCTTTACTCGTCGTTACATATCAAAGAGAAAGTCATCATACGAAGATGTGTGTGTGTAAAAAGGGGAGGTTTCAAAAGGTCTAAAAGAGAACCTGTTTTCTACCTTAGGTATTTGAGGGTCATAATGGAATTCAACTAACCAAATTGCTTACGCAAATGGTGATGGGTCTGAAGAGGTGAAATAAGAACGAGGGAAACAAGTATGAAAAAATGTATATATATATATTACAGGATTGTGAAGCAAAACCGTTTTTTTTTCGCTTCGCGGTTGGCATCAATTAGTACAAATCGGTTGTAGTAATGATATGCACTCAGTGTCCTAATTAAATTAGAAAGACACGTTCGACAATGGACTCGAAGTACCGTGTCCGAGCAAATCGCATTAAGTATAGGTCCGATTGGAAGTTGCCGCCGTCAGTGACGTTGTCACTTCGTTCTTAACCAGACTTCTCGTATAAATCCCAGACAACCCTCGCGTCTTTTGGGGGGGAGGTTTGAGAACCACACGGAAGACAGCCCAGACGTGCACTGACAAATGCACCCTTGATGCAAACGCGAGCCGGTGGATCGCGGATTTTTAAAATGGCGCTTTTAAAGTTACTTCTAACTGGAGGAGACATGTATGAGAACGAGAGAATGTACGAAGCAACGAACAAAAAAAAACGGCATCTCTCCCGGCCGGCCAACGCATCAAAAAAAAATTATATACATGTAGAAGGAAAAAAAAACTGATCCGATTCCTAGCAGTACCTTTATTCTGATAGTCTTCCTGCGGTCTTTTATATCAGCACATTAAGTAGCACACACACGAGTTCGAATTTATGGGTTTAACACACCCTGCCACGGCGAAAACACCGCATATACACAAATTATATGAACTACTGAGTGAGAGTGCCGTGTGACTTGATGGAACTCTCGCCCAAGTCACCAAACACAGGTAGTACCAAGCGCGACCACCAGTCTGACAGGAATTCCTATCAGGATCTAGAACAACCCGGAGGTCGAAGAAACTCTTGAGGGATTGTGATGCATATTAAACGCGATTTAGAAGCATCGCTTTGTCCGGGCAGATCTACATGGGTTTTTTTTGTTGGTCTTTCGGGTCACGGGCAACAGGATATTTGAATTCGCGTTGCAGGTGGCGCTGTTTCAACGGATAATATGTCCCCAATTTGTACTGAATTTGAATGAATAGCAATCTATAACTAACATAAAACTATATTTTAGTTAGGATATATCTTAATTTGTATCAGTTATTAATTTCCTTGCTAATAATGTTTTAAAAAACAACAGGAATAAAATCATCGGCAACTCTATTAACACGAATGTAAGAATAGAATAACCATATGTTTAACAGAGGCGCACTCCGACCTTTTAAAATTGCAGTATAGTACTGATAAATTAAATACAGTGGAACCTCGCTTGACGAGCAGCTCGCATAACAAGCAAAACGAATTGTAAGAAAAATTACTCGCTTCTCGCGCCTGCTACATCATTTTAAAAACTTTTGTATTTTTTAATATGTTTCACTATAAGAGTAAAAATTCGGAAATTTTGGAACGGATTAAACTCGTTAAGCGAGGTTCCACTGTACTGTATATAGACCTGATCAACAATAGTAAATTTATATTTATTGCCAGAAAGTCCATTAACAGATAAAGTTGTATCATGCATTAGTATCAGTATAGTTCAAATACTAATTTATTCACAAAATATGCATAAAATAATTCCAGTGTGTTGTGAGTAGCTGTTAACTTGTTAAAAATATATACTCTAATCCAGCGATGCTAAACCTTTTCGCCACGCTATCCAACATATTTGTTTGTAATTGTACTGCGCCCTAATTGTTAAGATAATTTCACCAGTTCCTGGCTTTGACACAAGGTGACAGATATCATTTAGCAGCCATCAAAAACAATATGCGACACAATATTGGAATTGAGAAACGCTGATCTAAACGATATGGTAGAAAACAATAACATATAAAAAATTGTCTTCTATTCCATCCAACCAATTTATTTTGGAAAGTTAATTAATTTACTAAATATTCCTAGCGTTGTGTGTATTCAAATTATCTACAGATGTTAGGTTAGGTTGTCTTTGGTTATGTTATACAACTTTTTTTGGAGATAAGATCGAATTATGAACATTCGGTCTATTGTTTTATCTAAAACTATGTGGTAAATCAAGGCTATTTCAAGAAAGAAGCAGTTCTTTTATCCAATAAAAAAAATGTTGCAAATAAAAGATGTAAATTTCTCCATTTATTATTTAGAATGTACAATTGAGGTTAGTCGGAGAATTATTGTATATGCTCAACAGTAATAAGAAAAAAAATACTATTTTTTCAAAATATTTATAATAGTTTAATATTGTTATCGATTAAATAAAACTATGACTATTCAAAAAAAATCAGTTACAAATTGTATCAACGATATATTTGTTTTTGTAGTTGGAGTAAGAAATAACTATGATATCACGCACTCATATTTGTTATCAATAAACTAATAGAGAAAAATATGTACTTGATTTAAATACAGTAATACCTCGCATTGTCCGGGTAATCGTTTTGTCAATACCTCAGACTGTTTGAAACCGGACTAATCTAGGAAATACATAGAAATATAAACTAAAAGGAAAAACATTATTAATTTATTAACAAAAAAAATGTGTACATTTTTTTAGAATTTATTATTATGTCGCTCAATTAAAATTTCGGACTTATCGAAACCGTACTATACTTGAACTTGATTTTATGTGGTTTATGATTTTCAATGTATATACTAAAAATATATATGATACATTTGTAAAGTACAGATTGTATAATAAATGTTCATGAGTAATAAATAAGTGGGATTTACATATTTTTTTTATTAGTATAAAGAAACAATTCTGAACGATGACTTCATCCTTTGCTTTATCATCGTCCGTCGAGTATATGTTTACGAAAAATGAAACTTTTAAACGGAATAAACCAGAACAATTGATATTTATTTGTGAACATGCAAAATAAGGAAAAACACTTACTTTAAATTTTTACTATCAAATGTCAACCAAACACAATTTATAGATAAAATTAAATGAAAAAATAAAGCTAGCAAATTGTAATACAGTGGAACCTCGCTTTACGAGCACCTCGCTTAACGAGAAAAATAAATGTAAAAATGACAAAACTTTGTATTTTTTAGGAAAAAAAAATCTGATTAAACATGTATTCAAGCTGGCTGGTGTAAAAAGCAATAAAATGTATGAAAGAACCAACGGAGTTACATGGGAACTAGCTAAATTATTGAAGAATAGAATTCGTCTTTCACTCTTTTGGATGGACAAGCTCATGAAGGAATTGAAAGAGCGGACGGTGAAGAAACTGAAATTGATAAGACATTTTCTGGCGGAGTTATTAAAAATTATATAAATCATAGATATGATTATGGACAAAAGAAATCACTTCATCATTTTTTAAATAGATGATGGAACGAGTTTAACTGTCAGAACAAGCAGTTCAACTAATTATTAGCCACGGGAAATTTGGGTAATATAGAAAAAGATTTGGGCAAGCGGACACATGTTTGTGAATGCAGATACGAGGATATAGTACTACATTGTCGGTTTAAATGCAAAATAAACAATGAATGGAGGAATTTCGCAGATAATAAAATAGAGGATATAAAAAAAATAGGTGATTTTTTTTAACAAGGAAACAAAAAAAATACACAAATTAGATTATGATATATAACAGGAATGGCCAAAATCATTAAAAACTATACGAATGAACACAGATAATTGTGTTGTATCACTTATATCTGTCGATTTATTACATTGAAAGGAAAAACAAGAACATCTATTAATATCATTATATAACTGCTTTTTTACATTTTCATTCATCTTTTCAATTCTTCGCATCGACAGTTGTAGATCTTGAATTGTAACAATAATTTCACTCTTCTCAAAATCGTTAAAAAATGAATCTGATATTTCCAAAAAACATTGTTTTCGAGTTTTGCTATAAAAATGTCATGAAACTAATAAAATATAAAAAAAGGTAACTCATTTCTTGAACAATTAACAAACTTTATTATGATCGGATTTTATAAATATTTTTTGTACAATTATTATGAATATTTTTTTTGCAATGTATATAATCATAAGTTTCTTGATGTAAATTGTTGCAGGTTTTAGACAAAACAAACATTAAATACTTTTAATTAATTTTCATTAATTAAACTTACAAAATAAATTATAATGATTCGCCAAGTAGTGGAGTATTACGATTTTCGAATATCTACAAACCCTACAATGATTGGTTCTACTTTTTTTTGTATTGTTCATTTTTTATTATTTACATAACAGAAGTAGCTAAACCGCCTGCGAGTTTTATACCAAGTTATTATTAGTTATTTCCAGTTAACTATGGCTCTTGCCCTGTTATATATTATTGATAATTTGTATATGAGCGTATTTTGTTTATTATTTAAACATAATGTATAAATTTGAATGATTGCAAATTTCATATAATTTTATATCTCGACTATTTTGTTTATATTAAAATATGCATTTCTTTAATGAAATAATATGTATAAGTTCTACATATTTACAATCAGTATGTATAAGTCGATCACAATAAGTATTAAATTTATTAGAGCATAGTAATAAATTGAAGAAACCTACTATTATAATTATCACATCTTCAAATATTGCTTAACAGGGCGGAGGTTTAAAGTGACTTTCATGAGCCAGTATCAAAATAAATTATTGAGCTATAATTAGCTTAGAAACATATTTTCTAAATACTTCTTTGAATTACAAACATTAAGTTTTTTAAATCGATTGATGATCGGGTTTAAAAATAGATTACCCTAATTCATTCACCCCAAGGTGCTTATCGACCACATTTTTACACAATCTGAAGGAATTAAGATTTTGATTCACAATTGTTGGATTTGAAAATATATTTGTTTGGTCGCATCTTTAATTTTTGGTGCTATGTAAATGTAAACTATTAGACGATGTTACTTGCATATCTATTGTTAATTAATGATCAGTTAAATTATTTCTTTAGATTTGATTATGTTATATAAACGTGATCAGTTATAATCATGTATTAGCAATTATTTTTACTGTTGTTAGAAGATACAACACGATTTCAAATGATTTTCTGTTAACTAACGATCCGTTAAATTGACTAATTATTTCTTTCGAACTGTTGAACATTATAATTTCATAAATCCATGATCGTTAAATAATTAGCAATTAATCTTACTGTTGTTACAAGTATGAGACACTTTATTTGGGAATAAACAACAGTAGATATTATTTAATTGAAAAAAAAAAAGAAATGAGAAGGAACATTTACGATTTTATGATGTAAATCTATAATTATTTCACACAAAAATTAAATATTCGATAATTTGTGACAAACAATTTGTGTATGTGGGTAAAATGAAATACATGAATATTACGTTGCACCAAAACAATAAGCAATATATATACTATATTTTATAATACTCTTCATCTTTTTTTTCATGTTATTTACAAAAATATTGTTTTTCAAACCTCCCCGTTTTTAACTAATAGAAACTATAATCAAGAAAATAAAAATATATTTTAATTTCCATAAATAAACTCTTATTTTTTTGCATAAGAGTGTAAAAATAATATTAAAATTAAAATATAATGCAGCTCGGCTTCACAAAAGTCTAGATAATGCTATAAATTTAATTTAAGAAGATCAATAATAAAATCGTTTCACTTAGCGATAAATTAAAACTAACTAAAATTACTCCTGATGATTCGTTTGCCTGTGGTGTCGACGCAACGAGGATTTATCGGTAAAGTTCTTGTCGCAGTCTCGACATTTGAACATTTTCCCGGTGTGCGTAAGTAAATGTCTACTCAAACCCGAAGCGTGGCAGAAGACTTTCGGACACAGCGTGCAGTAATGGAGTTGCACATCATTGTCGCACGAATTTAAATGCGTTTTCATGTGAACGCGCAGCGGTTCCTTCTGCGAGAATCCTTTGCTGCAGTGAGGACAGGTGTAAGGTTTCAGGCCGGTGTGTGTATTGAGATGTCTGTAGAGGATCTCCTTTTGCGCGAAGCTCTTCTCGCAGATTTCGCACTGGAATGGACGTTCTCCTGTGTGTATCCTTTCGTGACGGATGAGAGCAGATCTGGTTGGAAACCATTTCTCGCAAATGCCGCAGCTGAAGCCTCTCTGTTGCATGTGGACCGAGGCGTGTCTTCTTAACTGTATCCGACGCGAGAAGGATTTCGGACAGTCGGGACATTTGAACACTTTCAACTCGCCTTCCTCGTTCAACTCTTGCGCATTCATGTTCATGGCCTGCACTTGTTCACTTTCATCTGTTAATAGTTCCATTATGATCACAGATCCGTCTTCAGTTGTTACTTGAACCTAAAAAAATGAAATCAATTAGAAAAACAATTATAACCTTTCAAAAGAAAATCGTATAAATTCTAGTTTTATAAAACGTTTCAGAAATGATAAATATTAAAATAATTCTATTAAAACTGGAATATTTCTAAAAAAAAATCAGTTAATAACCCAAAGTTTCATTGCCAATAATATGAAAAGAAAATGAATATTTACCTATCTTTGTAGCATTGGATAAATGTAAATGATATTTAGCAATTATTTATACATATTGTATAACATTATGTAAAACTTTTATATAAACTAATCATTGATAATGTTTCTTGTACAATTTTTATAAGTGATTTGCACATGACTTTCAAATTAGGTATTATATAAGTTTTACATATGAACACTTTGTTTTGTCCAATGTTTGTTCTGATTTCCTAACACTCACAGTAAAGCACAGTTTCCTTTTTAAGACGTTTAAATCATCATCTCAATTAATAAATATGTTTGTTACAGTAATATAGTCAACTCTTGAAGAACACTGTTAATTAAATAAACAAAAGTTAGTAACAAAATAAATGAAAACTATATTCTGCTGTATAACAATTGTTTACAACAATAGTAAACACGAAATTCTCAAATAGCAGTGTCTTGTTGTAATGTAAGAAAATGGTGTTTCTTCAATAAATAATTATAATTAAGAGCGTCTTATGATACAAGGGTTGATATAACTTATGTTAAAAATAGTCTCAATTCAATGATAGTGGTAAAAACAAATCATAATATTTAATAAATAGGGGATAATTTTTTTTTAGTAATGTCACAGACATTCACCATAAAACAAATAGTTGCTATTATATACACAATAAAAAATGTTGACTTAACAGTACCTGCGTAGGTTTCCCTGGTTGTTGATCAACTTTCATCTGCAATTCTCCAGTTAGATTCAAATTGGGATGTGTTGCTAATGTGCTTTTAACAGCTTCCGCTATAACATCTAAATCTTGATCATCTATAATTCCATCCTCTTGTTGCTGCTGATCTTCAATATGTTCCATTTTCTGTTCTTCAGTTATCATATAAATATTTTCCACATCTTCAATTGTCGTTTCCTTTTGCAGTGCAGTCAATGTACAATCCTCCTTAGTACCATCCACAGGCAACGTAATGCTCTCAGGATCTTCAGGTTCTGGATCCGGTTGTATATAAGTTACTTGAGTGACGCCAACCAAATCCTCTTCAGTATTTAAGTCCCCATCAAAATCAACAGTGTCAATCTCATTATCAATTGTTAAAATTTCATGTTTCATGTCCGGTAAAATAACAATATCATTTCCAAGCTTCTCCTGAATATCCTTCAGATGATGTCTCAACTTCAGGTCAGAATTCTCACACTTTTTCCTGAATGTGTAAGACTTTTCCAATTGGTATTTGCATGGATGACAGATCTTATTGGGAAGTCCATCACCTTCGAAGACCTAAGGAATGACTGCATTAACATATAAGTTTTCTTTATTAGTTTTGTGTGAAAGGGGGTAGCTTTTCGTTGAGCGTTTGAGGTTAAAAGTGTTAAGTGTTTACCTCTAGTGCGACGCAAGCCATTATACGTAGCGAAAGCGGGATGGGATCTTGATCGTTGAATATTGGGACAAGAGCATCTTCCTTGGCCATGCACAGTCTGCACAGCTCGTTCAGATCTATGATAACCTCATCCTGATCGCCGGGTTTTTTCCGGCTGTATGTTTTCATTGTTGTTGATGCCACTGTTGAATTTTAGATTGTTGGTAAATACGGCTGTTTTCGATAAATTAGTTACCTTACTTGTCCGTTTTGCCAGGGCTTTTTAGACGCTCGCTACTTTATCTTCGTGACAACATGGATGTCAGCAGTATCGTGAACCACCACGCCCTCTGCGTGCGCAGATTACATTTTTACCGGGATCATAAAAATTGCGGCAGTTTTAAATTTCATTCACTCCTAACTTTACAGAAAAAAATGTTTTTGATATCTATTTTTTTTTAAATGATATCAGATCTCTTACATACAATGTTCATTATTAATAAAAACTTTCTAAATTAAAAACACGGACCAAATAAATAATCGATGCAAAAGTAAGTGCCAATAATTACTATTTGCAGGCAGAAAATGTTTTATAAATTATTACTTATAAATAGAAAAGCTATTACATGTTAGACAATTCAAATTAATTGGTTATAATAATAACGTCTATTGCAAAACAAAGTCATGCAAAACAAATGGTTGTTGACAATTAAGTTATTAATTAAAAATATAATGTGCACCAGCAGAGTATAAAAATAGATGGAGGTGACTTAAGCTCTATTTGGCTATATTAAATTGCATTGCACAATGGTTACATACAACTCTTAGAAAATAACAATTAGTTAGAGCCGTATTATGAATTCTATTCTAGAATTCTATTTAGAATGCAAACGTAACATTTTTGTTCACGTTCAGCTGTGGACACTGTGGAATAATTTGTGGAAGAGTCTAGATTAAAGTCAGTGTACTTATTAGTATTTATTTAACACAGAGGGTCCCAAACTTTTTTGTGTCGTAGACCCCTTGCCATGTTTTTCGGTTTTGGGTAGACCCCTTACTTACCTGATATTGATTTTTTTTGTAAATCTAAATTCTAACTTCTAACTGAAGTTTAGTGTTAAAAACTTAAAGTAAAAACACATGTTAAGTTTTATATATTTATTAATTGAATTTAAATGAAACTACTCAAAATAAAATTTTGTATCTGTTATATATAATATACGTAACATAAAATAAACAAAAAATAAACTAAGCAATAAGTAAATGTTTTTAGTGAGAAGGATAAACCTGATGCTTTAATAATTTAAATTATCAACATTTGGCGTCAATTTTGTAAGGTTTTTACAAGGTTTTTATAAGTTCAAAATATATTGCGACCACAAAGCGAATGCCTACATTCTACAACTTACACAATTTTATAAACATATATAATATTTTTTTTACTTCATAGGTACTTTTATAAATAATGTATTATAAGATAGTATAATGTAAGTAAATAGGTACTATCAGTGTATGTGTATGTCCACTATCGTGGACCCCCATTTTCATTTCATGGACCCCCAATTTTTTTTTTCGCTGACACGTAGACCCCTTGCAGGTTATCATAGACCCCTGGGGGTCGATATAGACCACTTTGGGAATCACTGATTTAACACTTAGGTCATGGAGATTCTTAATCTAGCTTTCGGTTGCTGTTCAAGAGTAGTATAGATTAGAACTATTACTAGGACTCTTCTTAGGACTCTTCCTAGGACTCTAAAATAGTACAAATGTTTATTTAAGTATATGATACATGTTACATTTATGATTATAAATGAGTAGTCACACTGTTTAAGCTCTTTCAGCATGCTGTTTATTGGTTACAAGTTTAGTAATAACAAAAGAATATATACACATTATAGGAAGTTAGTTACACATTTTAGAAAAATTGACACATTATAGAAAGTACATACATATTTTAGGAACAGATTTTAAAGATGAATACACATACGCAATCCTCTCTCCGACTCTATTCAACCAAATAAAAACATTTGAAACTCTCTAGCTAGTCAATAACATCAACTCAAGACAGTACTCCCGAGCGCTATTCCTCGATATTCACCGAGCATTCGACACGCTTCGGCACAACGGCCTACTGTTGAAGAGTAAGAGAGACAACTTCCCCCAATATCTAATAGATTTAATACAGAGCTACCTGAAAAAAGAACTGTTGCAGTCAAGATAGGATAGCAGTGAACATCGATGCTTGTGTCCCTCAGGGCGCAATCCTCTCTTCGACTGTCTTCAACATCTATTGTGCCGACATACCTACCTCTGAAGATGACTCCACTCACCTACAACAGTATGCTGACGACACGGCCATTTGGTCAACACACTCTGGAATGTCGACATCGAAAAGTCCGACACCACCAAATATCTTGCCATTCTGCTTCACAGAAACCTCAATCTAAATCCACTAATCAAAAACATCATCAGAGCAGTAAATTGTTGATCCCACTTAATAGTCTACTTTAGGTCCAAACTGAGAGGGTGTTCTACCGAAACCTTACTTCATATTTACAAAACTTACATTCGTCCTGTCATCACATTCCCCATCGCAATTCTCACTCTCATTCCACCCCATTTATCAAAAAGACTGCTGCAATTTGAAAGGAAAATAATTAGCAAAATCCTAAAACTTCATTACAAATATCCGTCGACTCCACTCTACGAGCATGTTTCATTTCCCAGTATAACAGAATTAATCAAAACACTACAAGGAAAATTCCAAAGTCATAATCGAATTTTCTTTATTTAAACTTCCTCCGTTAAATGTCTCAGGCCAAAACCAAAAACAAAAGTCCCATTGCCTCCAGCCAAATTGGTGCAAAATCTAGAATCTGATAATCCCATATTTAAGGATTTAATCCAAAACATAAACCCATGTTTTATATAAATTCAATATCTCTATTCATCTTTTCTATTATTTCTTTAATATGTATGTACAAAAATAATATCTAAAAAATCAATCATAGCAATTTCAACAGTTCCAATCGTTAGTACACGAATGAACAATTACAATATATTATATTTGATGTTAATTGATGAAAAGCTCTTTAAAATTATTATAATAAATTATTATGTTATTGTTTAAAAAATAATTATTTAAGAAATGAAGCAAAAACGAAAGCTACACAATTTAAATTTTAAAAATAATATATTATACAGTACCTATCGTTTTTAATTGTAATAATCAACAGATATAAAAATTTATATATATTTAATCTCAACTTAATAAATAGCTTTTATAAGTTACTTAAGACATATTTATGTGTTACCATTTATTTTTTTTATAAACATATTTAAGCAATGAAGCAAAATTATCCACCTCTTAAATAACAGGTAAAATGTTAAATTATTGAAGCAAATATCTAACGCTAATACTATATTGAAGCTTAAAAACGACAGACAAAAGCTACAAACAAAAATTTATATTTTAAATATAACACATATCATATATTATTGCTCCAATTATTAACCGAACAGATAAAAAATGACAATATATTTTCATTAATTTAATCTCAATAGATTAAAAGCTTCTATAATATACTTAAAATATATCAATGTAACCTAAAAATGAAAACTTCTGTATTTTATAGAATATTTATAATAATTTATTGATATTTACACTATAACAAGCATTTAGAATTATTTGACTTTTTTAAGTAATGAAGCAAAAATATCTACCGCTAGTATTATTTTGAAGTTTAAAAATGTCAAACGAAAGCACCAACAAAAATTAAAATTTTAAACGAAACATATAGCAGATCTTAGTGATCCGTTCTTAATCGTACGGATCAAAAATTACAATATATTTTATTTAATTTAATAACAACAGATTCAAAGCTCCTATAATATAGTTAAAAATTGAAACTAGTGTATTTTATTGAATATTTGTATTAATTTATGGATATAATAGACATTTGTATTAGCATTTACAATTATTTGACTTTTTTTAAGTAATAAAGCAAAAATGTCTACCGCTAGTACTAAATTGAAGCTATGTTAAAAACTCATTTAATATATATGAACATTACTTAATAGTTCAAACTACTCTATTTTATTGAATATTTGTAATAAGTTATGATATTTCTATCAAAAAAGATTTTGTATATATACAATATATTTTATTTAATCTCAATCTATAAAAAGCTCACATAATATACTTAATATATATAAACATTACTTAAAAGTTAAAACTACCGCTAATACAAAATGTTTACTTATTGAAGTACTACCATTCAGGAACGAAGCAAAAATGTCTAC